ATGGAAGGCATTTTAGGGAAGCCTGACAGTCGGCGACGATTATCGCACACAGCACTGGTTCACGGAGTTCTGCAATTCACAGCGCTCTCGGTGCTCCGGTCTACTCCTACAGATTTACATTGGTTCAGAAACATCTTCTCTCTCACTGGAATTTTCAGTGCGGTAGTCGACGACCACCAGTCTCCGGCCTTCCGAGGCTTGGTGAGAAGGTCTGAACGTTGGAGTTCGGTAGGAACCCAGACCAAAGGTGCGCGTTCATCCCCGCCGCCATGTCCACGAGCTTCGTGCTGCAGCGTCTGGCGCAAACAAGCGATGTCAATTGCCAGGCGACGGTCGGATGGAGTCCTTGGGAGTCCATCCTTGTGAAAGTGGTCATAAAGGGATCGACAGTCTGTCATGGCCACCATGGGGTACTCTTCGCCGGTGTGGCGGTTGAGGTCTCCGGTCAAGAAGGAGGCGATCATAGCCCGCACGTAGTGGGCAAGCTCGATCCCCTCAATGCATCCCATGGTCTCTGCTCCGAAAGTTGAGCGGCAGACTCTGTCGCAAGCATGCGACTTCCATTCGACTATGCTCGCATTGGCACTGTCTCCTTGTAGGGCTCCGGTCTCAGTGAACATCACCAGCATCCCGAGTTGCGATGCCACTCTGGAGTTCTTGCGCTTGGCACGGCGCTCCTTCGTAGCCCAGGGTCCATCGTGGATTTCTCCCCGCTCTTCGTCTGAAGGGGACAGGAAATAAATCGGATCCTGGTTGCAGTCGGGCGCATTCGCCCACCCAGCGTCGTGGAACACCGCCACGACGAGCTTGTCGAGGTTGATCTTCTTCAAGACGATGGCCTCTTGTCCATGCTGTAGGGCCCGGCGAGCTAGTAGGTTTGTGAATTTGATGTCCTCTACCGTGGGGCATGCCTGTAGCTGTTGCGCCATGCTTACCCCGCATGCCAAGTCCGGCCTCGTTTGGGAGGCCAACCACGAGAGGGCTCCTATTAACGACCTGTTATCCGCCACCTGTTCCGGAGTCGCTTTGGCCTCGTCGGGGACCTTCGGGTCGAGGTCCACCTCAAACAAGCGGCTCTCAACGTAGCCACCCTGGGAGATCCGGATTTCATCCTTGAGGACCTCGATGTGGCTTCCGATGAAGTCGAAGGCGTCGTTCTCCCATTCCTCTACCGGGAAGCACGTGGAGAGCTGCTCTTGGACTGAACGACTTAGAGTCCTGGGTCCAACTAAGAGGATGTCGTCGACGTGGACCGCGGCGTAGCAGAGTGGTTTGGCTCCGTCCAACTTCTTTCCATGTTCTCCGACAAGTAGCAGCTGGAACACGCACGGGTCCAGCGGAGAGGCAAAGAACTTTGCCTGCGCACCCTCGCCAACATTGATCACCTGCTGCTGGATGTCCTTCTTGAACTTTCGCCACCACATCCTGGGCGAATCGATCAGACCGAACACTCCTTTGTTGACTTGGATGATCTGGGATGGATGCAGTCCAGGTAGTCCATGACGTGGTTGCCGAAGGAACAATCGACGCTCCAGGGGGTCCCCGTTTAGAAAGGCAGCCGTAACGTCTCCTGCACTAACTGACCAGTCATCATCCAGTCTGCTCGCTGCCACTTGTAACAAGCACATGACTGCTGTCCTTGACACCGTCGGCGAATCTGTCCTCAGGGCTCCGGAGACGACATCTGGGTCGGTGTGTCCACCGATCACCAATCTCGATTTCGGTTTCCATGGCACCTGGGGATCTGTACGCCGCTTTGCAAGGTTTTTGTCGCGGTAGGCAAAGCGACTGGATAACACCCTGGAGCCCTCGGTCGCGACGATCTTGAGGCTTGTCTCAACATCGAGCGGGGTAAGACGAGCACCCAGCCGTAAGTGTTCTTCCCATGCTTGGCCTCGGCTTCTTGGAAAAGAGGGCGCTTATCCACCGGGATGGCTCCCCAGGGGAGCTCCTTCTCCAGCTGTTTTTCTCGTCCACGCCTGGTGGTTGCCCGCTTGAGCATGTGGGCCTCTTGAGGCATCTTGGAGCGCACTCGACGCTTCACGGCGGGTTGGTCTCGTCCTTCGTCTCCTTCAAGGCGTCGCCGCTGTCCACCGGCCTCGTCGTGGTCGATGTCCTCGTTCGGGAACTCGAGGGACTCGCCAGGGTCCTCTCCTCCATCGAGGGACATCTCGTCCCATGGGATGTCGATCAGCTCGTCGGCGTCCTCGTCCTCCCGCACGTAGGTGTCCTCGTCGTCGTGGTCGTTCTCGATCAACTTCTGGAGGTCGGCCTGCGTGGCTCGCATTGCAAAAAGTCCACCAAGTTCCTCAGGTGAAGCGGGGCGGACATGCTCTGGGGCACAAAGCTGGCAGCGACCTCCGCGAGCAATCCAGTAGTTGTCCTGCTGTCTGCCAACTACCACTCCAGGTCCTCGCCATGCCCCCTTTTTGTTGTTCTTGTCCTTGCGCCAGTACAAAGCCATTTCTCCATTGGCTAGATCACGTCCGCGCACCCGGGCTCGTTGAAGACTTCCTCGCCGGACCTTCTCCTCCGCACGGACCTTGAGGAATGCCGCCTTGGAGGCGGCGCGTATAGCGTCCCGCCGGTGCTGCGCATCGTCAGGAGTCCTGGCCCTGGCGATCCATGCCCCGTCGTCAATCTCTTGTTCGATGATATCCTCGTCGTCCCGGGGAGTTTTCCGAAAGACTATCTGACACGGGGCCCAGCCGCACCTCCTCCGCAAGGTGTTCTTCGCAGAAGAGGTCGCGGCAACAGCGATCTCCACCTCATCGTTCGTCACCGACTTCTCCTCGACAACCTTCTTGAAAATCTCTTTCCACCATTTGCCGTGTCGTTCGGCAAACCCGGCCTGCCAGTGAGCTTGCCCGGCGCTGGTCTGGAGATCAATGCGGAACCAGTCGCTCAGCCTGGAGAAAGCGTCCTGGATGCCGGTCTCAAGGTCGAGGGATATAACTTTGGGAGCTCCGAAGACCTGTATCCAGTGTTTAAGGAAAACCTTCTCGAGGGTGTCGCCAGTCTGGTTAGGCACCTTGGTAACGACGTGATAGCTGGAGGCACAGTCGATGATCGACAACAGCTTCTGCTTCTTGCCCTCGATGTCGAAGGCAAAGAACATATCCACAGCGACGACGTCGTTAAACTCGAGGAGTTTGGGCTCGGACGCGGGCTTTGGGCTCCGTGGTCCGGAGCATCGCTTGCAAGTTTCACATGACAAAGACCGGGAGGCCTTGAGGATCTCCTCAGAAGCGCCTGCGAGTCTCAGGTGTCTGGTGAGGTCGGTGTTGGGCGGGTGACCGAGGTTCTGATGCAGCCGCCGCAAAGTAGTAGCCACATCTGCTTTCACATCTTTCCCGAAAGTAATTCCGCTAGCCCCCTCTCGCATAGGTCGCTCGGGTGGTTCTCCGACAAGTAGGTCGTCGGCCGGTTCTGGTCCATCTCCATTCGCAGAGACGAAGGCCTCGTGATAGTTCGCGTTCCTGACCTTGTAGAAATGGGTGTCGCCAAAGAAATGCTCTGTCACTTCCCCAAACCCGCGAAGTCGTTGATAGACAAACTCCTTCCGATCCTCGGGCTCGGTGGACACTTCGACAACTAAAGTTCCTTGATGTTGGACATGGGCCCTTCCACACTCCTCGAGGATCTCATGGAAAACCCGTCGGGGATGCTCCTGCACGTTTTCTTCCCTGGGGTTGTAGTCGATAACGTTCGCGGGCGGGTGTAGCCAAAGAACTCCAGGCCGTAGCTCGCCGATTGTATCGTGGACTCGCTGGACACCATTTTCACGATGTAGATCATTCCAAACCAGGGGCTCCACGAAATCGATCCCTTCGACCTCGGAGATCTCGACGGTTTGTCTGCAGCCCCCGATCTCGAAGAGGGCTGGTCCCTTAGGACAGTCGTTGTACAGCTGGGCGCGAGCTGCCGAGATGGAGGCCAATGACCAAGTAAAGAAAGCACTCGCCCGGATAGCCGTCTTCCACATGCCCTTCCGGGCGCTGTACCTCGGCATGAACTTCGGTGGGTCGGCATCTTTGTTGTCGTGAAAGGTCCTCAACATCTTGCGGTCCGGCGTGAGATGTCGTAGGTCTGGTACAGGAAAACCCCATTGACGAAGTCGTCTCTTCTCGCTCTTGGTGCTTTCAACGATTGCCCGGGACGTGAAACACGCCACCATCCATCGGTGTCCACCGCTCCAGTCCTCTGTAGCATGCCGTCTGTCAGCATAGAAAGTGGCCACTTCCCCTTTATTTGTAGGTAGTACGACGCCAGAAACGCTCCTCCCTTTCTCGTCCTCGAGATCACGTCGTTCCTGTCCACCCCTCTCTTGAGGTTTCATCACTTCACACCAAACGCCGCCTCCACAGTAATCTCCTCCGCACGTCACGTAGTTGTAGGTCCCCTTGAGCTTGTTCCGGTCGGTGTGGATGCAGGCCTTCTGGTCGAGGGACACGCAGAGAGAGGTCCACCTCGCTTCCGGACATCGTTGGTGGATGTAGTGCTTCAAGTAGATAGAGAGTGAGGCGTAGTCGGCGGTACGATTGCAGATCCCCCGGAAGCCACCGCGGACGTAGTAGCCCAAAGAAATACGACAGGACGGATCGTCCTCCTTCCCAAAGGCCACAGCTCGTGAAGAGGCCCCACCACTTGGGAAAAGCTCACCTTCTGGTCCGAAGACTGCCTCCAGAATGGCTGTAAGCGTGCTCTGTGAGAAGTCTTCAGCCAAAAGACGGTCGCGGATGAACTCCTCGATGGGGTCAGCCAGGATCACGACGTGGTCGGGGTCCCCGGCTTCGGAGTCCAGATCGTCGTCCTCGCTTGTGCCATGAACGTCTGTGGACACCAGTGCCTGGTCTTCGGTATGGTTCTCAGTGACCTGGTCTGGATCAGTGCTCTCAATGTGGCTTGGTCCCTCTCTGCTAAGACATTCCTTGACATCTGCGTTGGGGTAATCCTTGGCGTCCTTGCCCAGGTTGGGGTTCTCGACGTAGTCCATCTCCACGTTGTTGTAGTCCTTGGCCCCTTTGTTAGTATAATCCTCGATGTAGTTGTTCTTGCCCATCACGGTGCTCTGGAGGTGACCTGAACATTGAGCGGACGGATCCTCGGTGGCGTTGCGCGGATCAGTGCCCTCGACGTAGTCTGGTCTCACTCTGCTGAGACATTCCTTGGCATCCATGTTGAGGTAATCCTCGGTGTCCTTGCCCGCTTTTGGGTTCTCGATGTGGTTCATCTTCTCGTCGTTGTAGTAGTTGATGCCCTTGTTGGCGAAATCCCCGATGTGGCTGTGCCCTTTGGTATCACCGCCTCGCGCGTCAAAGTACTTGTAGTCAACTTCGTCAGCGAACCTCACAGTCCGCCGTCGTCGTGATCCTGCGGCCCCATCTGTTGTTTCAACATCGCAAGCCGGGTCTCCAAAGCCATCATCTCCGCCTTGATCTCCTGGAGGATTTCCAGTCCCATCCGGGTAGTTCCCTCGTTGGCATCGGTCCTCCGCTTTCCGGAACGTTGGGAACTCGAGCTTGATGCCGCTGGGCCAGTTGTCCTCGTCATCGGCATGGGCAACTGCAGTTCCTTCGTCACCTCCTTGGCATATCCCTTTCCTTTCTTGTCCGCAAGGGATTTCACCTCGGCCCAAGACAGGTCGCTGCTCCCGGCGCTCGATGCGTAGTCCTCCGGGTTGATCACGGCGTACTTCTCGGGGTTCGACATCTTCTCCAACGTGGTGGGCTCCTCCTCGAAGTCGTCGTTCATCTTCCTGCGGTACCACATCACGTAGCGTCGTAGATCCGGGTGCATGTTCCCGCCATTCACCTTCTCGTCCTCGTCGGCCCACTTGCCGTAGGACAGAGGTATCTGGGCGTAGGTGTTCCCCTTGTGCCTGCCGATGGTCATCACCGTGTCCGGGGGGGTGGCGTAGTAGTCGCGAATGTTCTGCATCAGCACCCCTCGCGTGGCATTCGCTGCATAAGGAAGTCCCAGCTTCTTTGCTTCCTCCTTCAGCCCTTGGGGAGGCCGCTCCCTTAAGTCTCTTTCTCGTCCTTCATCTCCGTGATAGCGCTCCGAAGCTCCACATTGGTCCACTCCGGTAGGGGAGACAGACCCATCGCCGTCGCCTCGGACAGCAGCTCCTTCCTCGACAACTGCCATGTGGGACGCTGGGCCATCACCCGACGCGGTCGAAGGAAGAAAGCTGGGATCGCAAAGTGCTCTACGATTGAACACTGTTCGGCCGACCCACAAACACTGATGACATGGCTTTGCAAGATGACGCACCTCCTCCCACATGTCATGACTGATTGGCAGGCCGCGAAGTGAACGACAACTAACAGCATGGGTAGTCCTGATGCTACCAAGAAGTCGCTGAAGATTATCTCGTAGAAGAGATTGCTGAGTTTTCCAGTTGTCTGAGGAGAAAAAGGACTTCCTGGGTACGACGTGGACTCTGATCAAAGAAACCTTGGTTTCTAACCAGAAGTCGGTTGTAATATTTGTAGTTTGCCACCGTCGGATGAAGCCATCTACTGAGAGAACATCGCTGCTAAGGAGGTTCTTGATTTCGGGGGGGAGCTTCTTCTCGTAGAAAACCTGGGGATGTGGTACACTCACAGGAAGCTCGACAGGTCCTACCATGTATGCCTGCTGGGGAAGCGTGGTAAACCCTCGAAGCCCCGAAGCGGAAGCTGTCCTGCTCAGGAAGGAGAGGCACCTCAATGTTGTACTGCTTCATGTAGTCCACGAGCCGCTGCAGCCAGGATGTGCCCATCACGGACTTAGTGCACGCACAGTCGGTAATGCCATAGAGGCGGTCGCCGGCAGCCTGGCTCGTCTCGAAGATGGCGTGGGCAGTCTGCACGGCATCCTTGGAGCCATCTCGCCCCTTGGCAGCATTAGCAACGTTGGCAGGACACTGGGGATCTCGATGCCAATGTCCACGTTGCTTGCATACACTGCAGTAGGACTTCGACTTTGCCAGAGCTATCTTGTCCTCCGTAGCCTTGCGGAGAGCATCTTGGTCCAGTCCTCGCGCCTTGAGGGTGTCCTTGTACTGCATCTTCGCCGTCATGTAGGCCTCGTAGACGTGGGATCCCCCATCATCGTCCTGAGCAAACGGGGACTCGTCATAGGAGTCCTTGTCGTCGTTCTCCTCGTCGACGCGGTCGGCGTTGTGGACAGAGTTGGTCTTCACCCCTCGGTCACGCTCCCATGGTTTGACCCGGTCACGATCCCAGGCCTTCTTAAGACTCTTCTCGTGTAGTACGGCTGCGCGCTGCAACTTGTTCGTCACATACTCATTTGCAACACTCCCAAGGATCGACAGCTCTTCGGCCTGAGTGAGACCAAGGGCGTTGAGATATGCCCAGGCCTTTGCGGTCTCCGGAAGCTTGAAGTCGATCTCCAGCAAACGAGCATATGACCTGTCAAAAAGACCATTGAACTCGCGGATTGACTGTTGGGGTCCGCGCCGGAGTCTCTTGAAAAAGCCGTTCAGGGCCTCGCCGATCTTCCCGATCTCCACCTCCTGGTAGCGCTCGACCACCCAGGCTTTGAAGTGCTCGATGCCGTCCTCGTTCGCCAGATCAGTTACTTGGAGCTCCTCTGCTTCTATCCAGGCGCGACCCTGGAGAGATTGGTAGAGGAGTAGAGCTTGACGGTCTCGGGGGGTCCGCGTCAGCTTGGACCAAGCATCTATCTGACGAAGATACGATCTCGCACTGCTTCCAAGCTTCTCACCAACGTCCTCTGCAGCGAAAACCGGGACACTCATTTTCTCGCTGATCCCGCTCCTCCGGTCGCCTGGGCCACCAGCGTCCAGTGGTCCCGAACGATCAGGTTCGATGCCATGTGCCCAATGATCGTTCTCGCCGCCGGTCGCGCCCGAGTTCCTTCGTGTAGTAGCTGAAGAGGTCAGTCGTGCCCATCCCGGAGCGCGCCATGTAGTCGCCAGATCGTGGCCTTGATCAGGATCGCCTGTCGAGGCCGCCGTCGTCGTAGAAGGCGTAGTGGTCCACGATCCATCATTCCACCTGTTCCACCACCCGCCATCGTTCCAGCGAGTGGCCTGCGGATCATCTGTCTGGTCCTGATCTTCATACGGGTCCTCCACCACGGTAGAAGGCCTCGTCCACGATCCATCGTTCCATCTGCTCCACCGCCAGCCGTTGTCCCACGTGGACCGAACATCTCCACGTCCCCGCGCGTCATGACGGCCCCAGCCGCCACTGTAGTAGTCGCCCCACCATCCAGTAGGTTGATCTGCATCGTCGCGAGGTGGCTCATCGTCATCTGCGTGACACCCGTCGCCCTCTGCGTCGTGACCCGCCTTCGCTCCGACAGGAGTCTCCCCAGGGTCACTTCTCCTCCAAGTGCGGCGTCCCCGCAGGGACCGGTTGCTTCCCTCCACAGGAGGGTCATCGTCATCATGGCCTCGGCGCTGCGCAGCTTCGGCCCAAGGATCTTCGGGTTCTTCACCAGCTCGAGGTTCGCTGCCACCGGCAGCCGTCATGAGGAGCCCGCAAGCTGCGCTACCAATCTAAAACACTAAGCGGTCGCACAGGGCCTTTTTGCACTACAGGAAAACACATGAGCCTTCGGTTCGCGGAGTTCTGCAATTCACAGTCGGCGACGATTATCGCACACAGCACTGGTTCACGGAGTTCTGCAATTCACAGCGCTCTCGGTGCTCCGGTCTACTCCTACAGATTTACAGGCCCTATATAGTAGGTACCTGGGGGGTTAGGGTGGTGAGCCCTGAATCCTATACGGGCACCTCAAAATCCATTCCCTCGCAGCGACCCGCATCCAACACCCTCGACGGCGATGATGTAGGAACCCCAAGTTCAATTCAGAATAGGATCCCTTCGCAGTTCCCGATTCTATATTTTCTAATTTATCACGGCTCTGGCTTGCAAAAGCCCACTTCCTGCCATTTCCTGCTGCAGGCGTTGGAAATGCTACAGTCGGTTCTGACTTGGCGGCAGCAGAACGGCCGCTGTGAGTTCAAGAAGCTTAAGCGGGTTTTGGGGTTGAGGCTTCAAGGGTTTGTGCTATGTCTACGTAGTCTTCACCTTCTTCGTGTTGGATGGGGTGTGCCCTGGGCATGCATCCATCGAACTTGCTTGAATATAGAATATTTGCGACGGCATGCATGGAGACATGTCCGATTCCTGAATAAAACGGCCACGCGGCTATGCTTATGGTAAAATCGTGGCAAGGCTGCACCGCTCGGGTGCAACTCAAGAGGTCCAACCTAGTCCATCATACTAGCGCGTCTTTTGATTTCACGACTGTTGGCAATACATGGTCTGCTTGCACGTCACTTCCTTGTCCTCGTGCATCCATGCGATGGGATTCTGGCTTCCGGCTTCGGGGTGCGAAATAGCAGAATGGATCAGATCTTATACAACACACAGCCGATGCTTCGAATTCGGGGACAGTGCGAGTAATCTAAATATGACGTGTTGCACCTTGCCAATGCACTTTCCGTATAGTTTGCATGGCCACGAAAATCATGCACCCCCCATACAGCTCTGCTCACCTTGCTTGTGTTCACAAGCAAACAGCCTGTCAGGCCAACTACTTGCCTTCTCGGCTTCCACAGCCAGTTGCCGTTGCAAGTGTAGACAGCAGTGCAAGGGTCTTTTCAGCGCACGGAGTTATGAAGGGAATGTACGGTGAGGTTACCGGGATTTTCTTACTACATGTTCAGGCCCCTCTAGTACACAGCCGTTAGACTCGTTCGTCTTGCGAAACCCTAAATGTTCCCGCCGAGTCAAGGTGCTGCCAATGCGCTCCCGCTTTGGAATAAGGCGCAGCCTTCTATTCTAGGGAGACAGGGCTGCTAAGTCATTGTAACTGTTGCTCTCCTCATACAAGATGCTCCGCCTTCATTTCTCTGCAGCTCACTTTTCTAGGCCGGTCGCCAATTGAACCTTCCTACGCTTCCAGGCGTTTCCACACCGGCTCGGAGACCCTAAAGGTACCCCAATCCGACAAAGCAACGTTTCCCCAAGTCGAGTCGACGGAGTTTGAGGGTTTCAGGGTTTAGGGATACGTTGCTACCGGAGAAATGGGTTTCACGTGGTTTTGTCGGTCCCGAGTCCTGCAGGTGAAGCACGAAAGCTTTGACTTCTACTGGAAAGCCTTCGGCTGCACTGGAGTCGATCGCGAGGGGGACCCCGTCGTCTTCGAGAGGCTAGCTGAGGGCTGAGAGATGCAAAGCAGAATTGCCACCGGATTCTGCAGTAGCAGACTGCACCTTCGTTGATATCCTCGCCCGGTTCCCGGAAGCATCATCATCGAGTATCACGACAGTCGTCACGGTCATCGAATGCGTCCTCATCAGAAGCAGCAGCCACCACAACATTCCTCCTCTTGGGTGCCTCAGTCGTCGATGCGAATCCTCGTCGTGAACACCAGGGTTCTCAGATCACTACAACAGCAACAGCAGTGGCAGCCGATGCAGCCACTGCCACATCAGCACCCATCAGGAAGAAGACATTGGCTCGTGAATGCACCGGTCAAAGTTGCCGCGGGAGATGCCTGTCTACGTGCAACGCTAAACACGAGACAGCTGGTTGACGACACTGTCGGCAACCACATAGACGACAACCCGAACCGAGCGAATCACACATGGCATGAAGATGCATAGTGGCAACAAGTAGACAATGACATCACTGAGAAAAGCAGTGTCAGCAATAAATGCAAACGCAACAGCAGCTGCAAACATTAGCAGTGCCTGGCAGCACCACAACCACCACCGTCGTCGCCAGCTCCACCGCCAGCAACAGAAAACATCAACAGAAGTTTCTGCAGGAGCAACAAAACCATAACAAGGATACCAGCACTGGTCATCTTGAACCTTTTGCGAAGTTGTATATGTATCCGTGTAAACATGCCTGTGTACCTGTATATCCATATATCTCCACAAACAGATAAACATAGACAGACACACACACACAAGAAGCAAACTTGTGTGTATATATATGTATATATATATCCACATACACACAGGCGCATACATTGGCGCATACATATGCATACATGTCTGTGTGTGAGTCTTTCTCCCTATCTCCATGTATATATGTATATGTACATATGCGTGTATATACATATATACCTATACACACGTACATATACGAATGTTATGTTATGCATGTATACGTGTGTATATGTAGAGCAAAAGCATGTCATACATATACATATACACACACGTGTATACAGAACATAGGTACTGTACATACGTACGCACATACATACATACATACATACATACATACATGCAGGCAGGCATGAATGCACTCATAAACTCAGTACGTACATGCACAGAAACATAAGTACATGCATGCGCACAGTCCTACATATGCGCGTACATGGCATGCATACATGCATGCATACGGACCTATACATGCGTTGATTCGGTCGTTCATACACACAGACATACATACCTTCATACCTTTATACATTCATACATGCATACATACATATGTATGCACATACACACACCTACACATACATACACATACATACATACATACATACATACATACATACATACATACATACATACATACATAACCTACTGACTTACCTACTTGCTTGCTTACATACTAAGCACTCTTATGCTTGCATGAGTGCGTACATACATACGCACGTACATATTACTCCGCAGCTGATGCCATGCAGGGTGGGTCAGCTCGACGTTCCGGGCCTGGTCAAGTGCAATCAAGACTTCATCAAGCAGCACTGCATCTACAATGCTGCTCAGCTGGAAGCTTGCAGACCGGTAGTTCTCCTACCTGCCTACCTACCTATCTACCTACCTGCCTACCTACCTATCTAGCTAGCCATCCACCACCTCGTTTGTCACCTCTCTTTTAATCTATCGGTCTACATATCGTGTATGTGTGGTGTTGAGGAGAGAGAGCGAGAGAGAGGGAGAGAGAGAGAGAGAGAGAGAACGAAACACATAAAGACAGAAAGAGGCCCTCTGGGTTTTGCTTGGTTACAGTCACCTCGCCAGGCCGAGTGTGTTTTCGCCAGCTTGGAGATCGGAAGACGGCGGCATCTCAAGCAGGACAGCTGCCGTGGTTTCCAAGTTACGGTTGTTGTCGATATGACCGGCCTCAACGTGTCTTTCATGGATCGAAAAGCACTTGCCTTGTGGCTTGGCCTGACAAGGCTTATTAAAGAGTTCGGTCTTCGGCATTGGAACGGTTAGCGTAGCACTCCCTAGGCAGCTTTCCATGCTTCGGCAGAACTCAGATCCAGGTGCCAGCTGGTGTCCAGGGTTGAAGCCGACAACTACCCGGAAGCCTTGAAGCGCGTGATTGTGATCCGGGCCCCCTGGATCTTTCCAGCCATCTGGAACTTTTGCAAGCCCTTCTTCGACAAGGGAACCTTGGAGAAGGTGTGCATTGTGAAGGAAACCGACACAGCGGATGTGCTGCTGAAGCATATTCCCGCGAAGAGCGTGCCAAAGGCTCGCACAGGGGATTCGCTAGGCTGTTTCTTAACAAGGGCCACGCCACAGGTTGTAGGGGCTTGAGTCTTTAAATGAAATTCCGCTTACAGGCACTCGGCGGGACGTTATCGGGTGGCAGCGGCGACGACTACTGCTCCACGATTATTGCGCCCGGCGGCAAAATACCTGAGCATGTCATTGCGATGACTCATTCCAACTAAACTCAGTAAGTAGCTCGTTAGTTTTCCGAGTGACTCTCAAACCAAGGGCACCATGTCGGGTCCCATCTCGATGAAGCGCGCAAAAAATACAATAGTCTTTTCTTACAACTCCTCGACTCGGATGCGTCCTTGATTGAGTTTGCTGCAGCAGGCAGGAAATAGTTAGAACCGGCTTTTGGGCCTTGTGACGACTCAATCCTGATTTTCCCTGAGCCGGCTAGGCTTAGCGTCCACAGGGCTGTGGGGACTTCTGAACATGATGCTCGCGTGTCCTTGCCAGCGATTGTCTAGACTAAAAACTGTGTAGACTATCATCAGGCTATCATCCTTTAAAGGACCGAATCCTCGTAGCATGCAGTAGCTGCTAATGACGCTGACATGTTGGCACCGTGGGCAAGTGGCCGAAGTCCCACCATCTTACTTCCAAGAACTTGTGACCTAGCAGTTGGTGAGGACACTCAAGGAGAGTGAGCTTACGCTTTCTGCGAGGTCGCCAGAGTGACAGCATCAATCATGGACTTGCAAAATCAGAGGTCGCGTATTGGGGGTCTGTACATTACAGGGATATTTACCGTCTACGGCCTATGGTAATTTATGTTAGGGTCCCTAGTCTAGTAGTAGAGCAGGTAACCTTCAATCCTTTTGGGGTACTACCCGTATACGCCCTATATAATTCCAATATACTCCCAAAGGTGTAGCTCCCAGGATACTCGACAAGTAGGCTAGAAAGTTCTTCAACCTGTCGGCCTCACGACGATGAGACCTGCCTCGACAATCCAAAGAGCCGCCAACGCTTGCACTTTAATAATGAGAAGAGGGCTTTGGGCTGCTTGGGTGGTGAAGCTTACCTATAGTCTCCATTGGAGTTCCTTTTTTTGGTTTAACCAAATATATATTTAGGATCCCAAAAGGTAACCCCCAAAAAGGAGCTACAATGGAGACTATAGGTAATTTGCTCATGGAACAACGAGCCCCTAAGGGCTTGTAGTATCGAGCGAGGTCAGCTTTGCCGTTGGCAAGGGGAACGTCGCTGGGAAGTCTAGCCAGGACAAGGCAGGGGCCCCAAGGAATTCTGCTCAGCTCGAGCTCGGAGGGTGGACCGACTCCATACTTTTGTCGAAGTTTTTTGCAAACCTCAACGATCGAGCTGAAGTTCGTAGGCTCTTTCCCGAAACCTCGAAGCGCAAGAATGTCTCGGGACAAGGTCCCTCCGGTAGTCTCCAAAGCCTTGCAGGGCTCCTCCTTCCCAGGGCTTCGAAAGCCCCGGGATCACGTCTTCGAAGGTCCTAACACCGCTTAAGATATTCTGCTCCAGAACCCGACAAGGTTTGTAAGTGCATGGGGGTTATTATCTTTGGTTTAGGTTTAGGGTTCATGGTCTAAGGCCCACGCCGGTTGAAGGTGCTTCAGGCTTCTGGGCAAACGAAGTTGGTATTTTCATCTTACCACATAGGTCAAGCATCCAGTGCTTCTCATTCTGGAGCAGCGCCCATGAGCCAGTCTAGACTGCAAAAGCCAAACCTCTGTCATCACCCGAGGCAGCAGTTCTTTGCTGCAGCTATGCCTTGGATGTACTTCTGCTCCATCTAGACTGTAACTGACTTGTCCGCACAAGTTTGCAAGGCAGCGAATTCTGGTTGCCTGGAAGCGCGATCCCCCTAAGGTTGCAATCAACAGCAAAGCTCCTACCTTTCGACAAGAGCTGGCAGGTGTGTCTCAGCCCGCAGAAGATTTGCGCAGACACTTTGCTCGTGGAAGCGACGCAGATGTCCCCTGGTTGCAAGTAAGTTTTATGTTTGGATGTACGTATGTACATATGTTTGCGTGTCTGTATGTATGCACGTAATTATGTATGTATGCATGCGGTATGCCTGAAGGTCGATAAGCATGTCTATATGTGTATGTATGTATGTATGTATGTATGTATGTATGTATGCATGTATGTATGTATGTCTGTATGTATGTATGTTTGTCTGTTTGTTTGTATGTTTGTATGTTTGTATGTTTGTATGTTTGTATGTATGTATACACATACATAATTACTCGATGATGGACTCTACCGGATTCGCTCACTGTGCAGCTGACTGATTACCGCTTTCCCGCGCCAAAGAATCATCGTTCGATGTGTTACAGTTTTTTCACTAAGAAAGCTCGCTGTCTGACAAGTCTGTCCCCTAAACCCGAAACCCCAAACTTATCCGGATCATCTGGGAAAGCTCTCCTTCTGGGAGACTCGGATGTGGTCGTGTTTGACAGTCGGTCTCTCTTGGACATGAGGCAACCTGAAGGAAGGGTTTAGGGTTTAGAGTCGCACACTTGCCACTGGAAGGTCTGATGAGCCCTTCAGCATCGTCCCAGACCCAGCAGAGGGCAGAGTGCTTCGATCAGGACGTTGATCGCCTTCGGCAGGTTCTCAGAACGGGGGAAATTTCGGAGATGGGGGCTGTTAGTTTGGAAGATATGCGAGTTGTTGCATGCATGAGGTGTGGGTCTAGAGAATAGAAATTCTTTTTCAGCTCAGAAGAACGTAGAATCACATAAGAGCCGAGCCGAGACGGAACAGCACGAGAGCCAGTCAGGGCTTCGGAGAGATGGAAATGAGACGAAAAAGAGATGGATCTGTGACGCATGGTCTGTAGACTGTATACGATGCTTCGTGCCGTACAGCAGTGCATAAGTGCGGGCATATGAGGCGAAGTACTGAGTCGGTAAATGGATGGCTAGACATGTGCATGAGTCAAGTTTCCTTACCTGAACTGGTAGGGGTGGGTGTTCTATTCACAAGCATACATGCAACAGACAAGCGGAGGAGGTAGACAGATGTCGTGAGAGGTGTAGGTAGGGATGTATGTGTGTATATATGTGTTTCCAAGCATGCCAGTCTCAGTGTTCAGCTATGTACAGGTTTTTGGAATTTCTCCGGGGGAAGCAAGCAAGCTCTGGGCTGCTGAGGCTTTCTCTTCCTGTAACCAGCCATCAACTTCTCTCGTCGCACATAGCTATGATGCCCCTGAAAATTCAGAGCTATAAATCGTCCAATCCCAAGCTCAAAAGCCGTGTCTGTGAAGTCCTAAATCTCAAGCTTCGAGTTCCCTTTCGACGGCGTGGTCGGCTTGGGCATGCCGAGCCTGTCATTGACCAAGGCAAGGGATGGCAGACGCCGCGTCCATTTATGTGTGTGTGTGTGTTTTGTTTTTTTTTTTTTTTTTTCTTTTTTT